TGTTAAGAGGCTATCTGGAGTAAGCAAGATGCTTAGTTTCACAGCTGCTTGTCAATAATATCCAACTACTTACTAACACCAAAGAGTTTTGGTCTAGTACTCTAAGGCATCTAAGTTTTCCTGATGTGTTGAATATATTTTCTGGCTTTCACTTGTATTCATAGAAAACTGCCTTAATACTGATGGAGTTTTCCCAATTTCTTTTATTCCGCCATTTCACCGATATCTGGCTATGGTGAGTGATCACAGGGATTCGAAGTACTTACAAGTTACTGGCATTTTAGATTTGTTGACAGTTTTATTATTGTTAGTTTGTAGGGATTTGGTATGTTTTAAGTTTTACTCCGGATTTAATCCATTTGAAGGACAAGTGTATACCAGGATGTACTGAACAACTGTTTCATCCTATTTTGACTTTTCAGAGGTATACACTCAATCCCTTACTGGGAATTGGATTAAGCACCCTTAGTCTATGAAGCGAAGCTCGTTGACCATTCAGTGAACTGACAGAAGTTGGAGTTTACTGATGAGTGGATTCGAGCAAAAGTGGTTGAACGGTCACAAAGCTTCACTTCTTAATCTGAAGGTACCGAGTTCGACCCCACCTTAAGATGGTGGGTGTGTACTGACGAAAATACTGAACAAAGATAAAACCACTGTCTACTACTACCTGATTTCAATGGTTCTGTAACGGACATAAATCTTTGATGAAACCTGAAACTTGCCAGATCTTCGAAAGTCTATATATAATGCATTACGTGTCTATTTTTATTTTTTTTATTTTTATTTATTTTTGATTTACAGCTTGATTCCACACTGTATTTTTGGTACAAGTATGGAATTTTCAGCATGGATATCGGTAGCCCAAATTTTGCAGGCCGACCATAGATATCAGGTATGCGTCGGCGGGGTGATGACTGTTACAGGATTGGTCTAGAGGTGACATCAGTCATTGAACCACTGGAGATTAAGGAGCACAGGACAGCTGTCTCTTGCTTGTTCATGACTCTTCAGGAGTGAGATTTCGTAATCAGCGGGGTGCAGTAAGTCAGTCAAGAGAACACTTACTCGTCTGTGACACTGGCTGCCAGTTGGGCTAAATGTATCGCGAAATGAAAGAAGTTAAAATTCATGTATCATTGAGTCGGGTCATAGTGTAACCAAGAGAGCCTGAGTTCGAACCCCGTCGGTGTGTGCGCAGTGCTGAAGAGTCTCTAACTAGGGCGAAACATTTGATCACTACCTATATCAGCTCGTGACCAATCTTGTAACCAATCAAACGCCTGCAAACCAACACTGGACATTTGTCACCTACGTCAAAATCGTCATGTTTTAATCCATAGAGGAAATTAACATGTAATTCAAAAGAAAGGATAAGTATAAACAAATAGATTTTACCTTAGTAGCGCAAACACATGGTCAAATCAATTTGCTATGTCTTGGTTAAATAAAAGATGCGTAATCTCATTTAGCTTCTCAGACATTTGACCTTGACATTCTAATCTGAATAACTTTTATGACTGAATAACCTAGTCACATTCATCAAATGTCCTGCTCGCGTGTGTATTCATAAAAAATTGTTTGCTACAATTAACATGTCAATATGTTGGTAGCGCATCTTCAAGGTCAAATGTGAAAAGAATAAAAAGCTGTTAGATTAGAAAACTCTTAAATCACAAATAGATGAACAATTATTTTCACACAAATGATTCGTAGTCATTGTTTTTTGGTTTTAAATTCAGTCATAAAATGTGACCTCTAACTAAACAAATATAAATATAAATAGCACATAAACAAAAATGTTTTTTCTTAACTATACTCATCAACCAACAGTGTTTACAGCCGAACAACGAGGTGGATATTGGATGGATGGATGGAGGAAATCTGCAGGAAGCCTTCCATCAAGGTTTCATCCCAGTTGGCGACCATCAGGAAGGGTAAAGCGCAACCTTGTAGGAACTCATTTCACTTCTGAGATTAGAACCCGCTTTATCTAATGCTTCATTCTGAGATGTTCCTACTGAGCTGTTCAGTCTCGTGACTGACCTTCTGTAGAACTAGTGTCGAATTAAAATCAAACAAAACATTCCTACAGGAGGTCAATCGCAAGCCTCAATAGCTCAGTGGAGACATTTCAGAATGAAGCATTAGATGACGCTGGTTCGAGTTTTAGGAGGGAAAAAATACCCTGGAAATTGAAGATACACCTTCCTGACCGGTGAGCGCCAAATAGCACGAAACCCAGGTATAAGGCTTCATGCCGATCGCTTCTAACCATCTAACATCAACATTTAAAAGTGTACCGTGATAGCAAGCCACCTAGTATGGTGACCATATTGCAAACATGACGGCTAGATGCATGAATTCAGTTAATCAGTGTCCAAAGTGACTCACTTGAAACAGTCCTCATACTTAATAGCTTCAATCGTCAAATAGATTCTTTGACTTGGAGGTGGATTTTCATGTGGTGGTTTGCACAGAATCGGCCGAATGGTGGCGAACAAACGACTTCAGTTATAGAACCATGAAACATCAAGGAGCACTACACAACTGTTTCGTCCTCTTTCGAGACTCTTCACATAGTAGTCACTGATCAGGGATCGAACCCAAGATCTTTGGGTAACAAAACAAGCTCGTTTACCATCCAGCCTCTGAGAGGGAATCCAATGGTATATCAATTCTAACTTTTATCAGTTCACGTGACCGTCAGGCAGTGATGTCCGTGAGTAAGTCACCTCACACCCAACTTAATGGATTCCACTATTCCTGACTTCCAATCAGAACTTCAAGTAATTTCATCCTGTTGTGAGTCACTAGTGGTCACTAGATTAATATCCAAGTTAGATGTTTGGAATTACCTTATAAACATTCAAACAAATATTTATACAATACTTTAATAAAGTATTATCAGGTCAGAGTAAATGCATTAACTTCTTTCTATCCCTATGACTTTAAGGATCTATTTGTCTCGCTGATTTTGCTTGATAGATCGATAGTGTCCACAGCATAGTACATATTGAGATGAGGGACGCTTCTACAAGGTGGTTACTGCACATAGTGCTTCGCCAGTCTAGGAATTTAACATGAATGTGTGCACATAAACAACATGACCCTGTATGTTAAAGTACTTAGGTTGAGAATTTTAGCACTCCAACAATAAACTCGTTTGTATTGATTCCAGTTATGATAATTCAATCCATTCAGTAATATATAACAGCTTTGTTTTATGCTTACAACACGATATGAAAGACAAATGTATATTATGAAATTCAGCTTTGAAAAGTACTTTTTCAAGGGTTGTGTACGGCTTTGCATAAGTATCCATGATGAAATAGAGCCGGTTGATGATAATGGTTGGGAAACAAGTACAGTGAATATGTCCCGCTGAAGCTCCCCGTTCCACTTGACTGGCCCTATTCAGGGAGGTAGTTACCTGGGTTTTAGTGGGAAGTCGTTACCAGTGGGGTGCAGCAGGTCGGGTTTGAGGACAAATACTCGCTAGCGAAGACATTGGCTAGGGGTCGTGCTATGTGGTGAAATGGCAGAGGTTAGAATTCATGGGCCGTTGGATCGGGTCCCAGTGGCTTAATGGTATACTAGCTCTTCTTGTAACCAGAAGGTCCTGGATTCGAACCCTGGCACTGGGTGGGTACTACTGAACAGTCTCAAACTAGGCCGACGAAAAAGCTGTCCATTATTCCAGTGCCAGTTTTCCAACAGTTCCCTAACCATTGTCAGCTCATGATGAAATCCTGTAAGCAATGAATTATTATTATTACTGCCTTATATTCTGAGTGGAGCATAAGGATCTAATAGCACATCGACATTTCCTCCAGTTTTCTACAAATCTCTCCAGCTGCCTCCACAACTGCCCATAAGTTCTTATCTCCTCCTCGTCGCACGATGTCTTCCGCGTTAGCCTCTGATGCCCAGCTCGTCGTTTTCTATTTGGGTCCAAAATCGATGGCCTAGTGCGTAATATCTATCACTCAACTGATTCATCAGTGTATTTCTGATCCAGAATATATAAATACATGAAATTATCTGTCTTCATGGATCGAGACTGAGAAAGCTATGTAGGCAAAATAATTATGGATGAATTTCAGGAATGTTCAATGAGTAACTGGATAATTTCATTATAATAAATGTTTTTTTGTATTTCCCAATGAATGAAAAACAAAACGATATTGTTTTGTTTACTGACGTTTCGTTATTTTATTGCATGGAGGATTTAATCATGAGCTGACATCAGTTAGAGAACCACTGGAAAACCTGGGAGTACTGGACAGCTGTTTCGTCCTAGTTTTGGACTCTTCAGCAGGACGCATCCACCGGGATTCGAACCCAAGACCTTCTGGTTACAAGGTGAGCTCGTATACCATTAAGCCACTGGGACCCGATCCAATGGTCCTTGAATTCTAACTTCTGCCAATTCACGACATAGCGTGACCATTTCGCGTTATTCAATTTCGTTATTTCGTTATTTAATGCTAATAGCTTTATCAAAGTATTATTAAATTTCAAGAAATGCACTCAACGCATATACGCCTTCAGTTACGTAAGATATACACTTATTGATATTATCATCAGTATTATATGTATCCATAATAAGTAAACTGTATAGCCATTCCAGAAACTGATTGAACAAGCCAGTTAAATTAGATGGAGATTTATGCATTTTCTGCATTATTTCCAACTGTACATTTGTTCATGTAGTTTCCATAGCATTTAAAAGCCTTTCAACTGATTTTTTCAGTACAGGATTTTATAAACCAGTTTGTTCACCTGATATCATTCCTCAAAGAACCTCAGACGAGTCAACTCTTTAGATATCATTCCACTGGGCATTAACTCATTGAGTTGGGAATAATTTAGTTGTTGGAGTTAGTGTTCGGATAACATTTTTTTCAGCATTCATTATTAAGCTTTTAAATCCATCTTGAGAAAAAAGAATTTTTGTCACACGTTAAATTATATGAGCATTACAGCATACTCTTAGGTCAGTTCGAATGGCTCGTTGTAGGGAATAATAAGAATACAGTAACATACAGGCTGCGATGACGGGCAACAAATACTAACCATTCCGGATAACAGTCATTATCGATATTGATTTGTGAATTGATAGGTATATCAATTGCTACAGGTGAAAGACGTGTACTACCCTGAGATTGAGGCGATTGTGCATACCTCCAAGGTTGAATACTCGATAGCCGTGTTTCAAAGACTACTTCAAAGCTTAAATCCAAAGGCCAGTGTTGAAAACAAGATATCATAAATTCTATAAATTGATTCATTAGATTAGGATTTGGTGCATGTAATTCAGATGAAATTATCATGCCTTGAGAAGCGCGGAGATATTTTCGATAGTAAAGAAATTTATTCCATATTATTTGTTGTTGTCGTATCTGGAAATGGCTTGGACTTGTATTGTTGAATAGAGCAAAGTAGAAATTTTTGAGAAAGGATAGTATTAAAGATACCTGACATACAGTTGGTTTATTTGAAAGCTCTGCGTGATTTTTTTTGGGGGGGGGCACACAAGTTATTGTACCAGCAGAGCCTACGGATAATCCTTTAGAAAGGTTCGATGCTTGCCAAGAGAGAAAAAACTCACAAATAGCCTGCAGTATTGTCTCCGTTTGCCAAAATAGACGGAAGTCTGAAATATGAGATTCCATTGATTCATTCGCAAAGTGAGAGGCAGATTCATTGAAAAAAACTCCGTCGATATGCAGGCGATTGTGGGCCAGCCCTTAAGAGTTGCAATCTAGATACCATGACGTTTACTTATACGGGATCAGTATATAGATAAAAACTGATGTAGTCACTGAACAGGGTGAAATACAGGCTGTTTTCCAAATCACATAATAAAATATTCTGCCCCTAGTTTCGGTATGAAGTATAACACATGAAGGAGAACACATAATAGCTGAAGGCGTTCAGAAGAACATGCATCTGAGATAGTTTACCGTCAACCAAGCGAATAAAATTCTGTAAATTTGCCTATAATAACCATAGTGGAAAGTCGTATTTGCACACTGGGAATTCTGTAGTTAGTTTACTCGATTAGACCCCAGAAATCTTCCGTTAGGTGAAAGAAACTCGCGAATACAACCAAATAGGTGTGGGTCATCAGATTCTTTTAACATATGTAGACCCCAGCCTTCTGTACCGTCAGAATATCCAAATATATTATCCACGATAGGAACAAGAAATGCATGAATATCCTGTGCATTTCCCCTGGCGACGAAGGTGTTTAGCTCTTGCAGCCTTTCACTTAGTGATAGAAATAAGCAGACTGTACTTCGCATTTAACAGAAACTGACATGAGCTATGATAGCGAGAAATAGTAACTGGATAATTTTGCTGTAGTGAAGTTTGCACGGAATAGTATCGTGATAGTAATTATTTACTGATGACAAGAGAAGTGGTGTGTTACCTGCTACTGATGCGATTTATCAGTAGTACATAAAGAGAAGTTTGTCGGCTTAAAAAAACATCAAATAACAGGAAGATACATTTTATATCAGCGAAATAAATGATACAGCAATACGGAGATACATGGGTGACGCAAAAGGAACACAAAGAAATAAAATATGAAGGCCAGAAGTAGCAAAACAACAACACGGAAGATCTGTGCCTATGGTGAAATGAAGATAAGACGTAGATAATTTCGTTATAACGAGAAACCAAATGCCAATTAAACATTCCTTTACCAAGTCTTTTGACTTCTACCGTTAAAGTAGGAACCCTATATACAAGGCAAAGTTAAAACCAAATGCAAGCAGGTCACTGAGATTTCGGCGTTTTGAGGATAAAACTTAGTAAGGATATTTTCAATCTGCCTTCCTGCTTCAGCTGTGAAGTTTTAGTAAACGTGATGTTGTTTTCACACGGTGGATTGGTTGCTAGCTTCGTGTACAACGTTCCCCATTTACTTGGTTTAATACTCGCTAGGCATTGGCATTCTACCCCTGATCGACGAGACATCTTCAGTTTCTTAACCACGAAATGAATGTCATAGATACATCATCCAAAAGACTTAACTGAATACATTTAGACATAAAAAAACAGATAAAATGTTGATATATCCGTGACAGTTGCAATTAGTCCATGTCACATATTTCTACTATTACAACAATTCTGGAGGTAAGAATCTCTACTGTGGTTCAGTCCAACTTTAGACATCATAGTAATCTAGATTTGGCATGCAGATAGACATTTGACAGTAAGGTGAATGGCTTAAACTTTTTATAAGCATCTTTCTGGACATTTGTTATATATTGGTATTAGGCTTACTCTTAATTTCCTCTGTCATAGAAAAAATTCAGTCTACTGGACTGATTTTCATGCTAATAAGAAAATAATCCTGGAAGATTTATCATTTGTCTGTCTATTAAAATGGAACTTTAATAAACTGTGATTTTTCTTTTACGTAAATAAGATGGAAATTTCTCTTCAGTCTAATTCTAGTTATATATGTGCATATTAGAAAATTACTGAGTTTAAAGATCTTGCTCTATATCTCATAATGAGTGCATCATCAATAATGAAGCAGAAGAAAAACATCAGAGAGAAAACCTGAGACTATGACTGCAGGTAGAAAACCTCTATGCATTCAGTTACAATTTAATGGTGACTTGTCAAATGGGATTTTATTCCAGAGACTTTCCAGGAGTATACGAAGAACGTTTAGTGCAGCAAGCGTACGATTGTCATTCTCTAGCCAACGAATGATTGCGACGCAAACGAAGAATAATCTACATACATTTGCCACATCTATGTGCATTTATCAATTCAAATGTACCCGCGGGGACAGTTATGTCGGCCACACCACTACTAGACAGCTTAGCAAACAAATATTTTACTGAACATCTCCTATTGTGGTGGTTTAGAAAAGGACAGACAAAAACAATCAGTATCTCCACTTTGTCTCATTTGGTTGATAGTGGTCATGCAGTGGAGAAAACGAAAGCACTCAAGGTAATTCATTGCATCCCATCGAATCTTTTCAATCGCCTGCGTATTCGTCTACTGCAGATCCCTGAGGCTACAGGCATTCGAACCATTAAGCCTTAACTACGCATTCAAAATACCCTCGTACAGCAATTATGTCTCTTTCACTGGCCTGTTAACAAATAACCAACTGATGACTTCTCTACTATGCCTTACTTATATCTTCAACTTCACTATTATCATCACTTAATCTTGTCACATCTTCATTGAAACCTATTCTATTTACTTCCTTTACAATCTAGCATTATGTAGTCGGTTTATTTGTTTTTCTTTGCCTTTATTGACTACTTCGTCTACCTGAACATTTGTCTGTTTGATCACGCTATTTTTTGTTATTCTTGTTATCACAGATCGCCTCACTTTATCATCCTTGCTATTAATAGAACCATTATTATTATTATTATCAATACCATTATTATGACTAGTTGAATAATTCATATGCTGAGTTTTATTATCCCACTGACGAAACACTGTAATTGGTTAATTTTCGAATACTTATTTTTAAAGTTACTTAGGCATATTATAGTTAAACCTGATGAGATTTAAATGAAAACACTACTGATCTCTCAAATGTGTTATTCTACATGCCCTTTATAACAGTTCTTGACAATATCCAAAATCTGTGATTTCATTCCTAGGAATAAGCTTTCTTTACTACTGGAAAATCAAGTACGATTTCTGCTCAAAAATGTAAAGATATAAAGCAGAAGAAATGAACAACAGACTGAACAAAGGAGTAGATTCCCTTTTAAATTAGTTCCTCGACGTCAGTTGGCTCTACACTAATATATAGCCATACTTTACATCAAAAGTGTACTACTCAAGTGGTAATGTTAGCGAATCAGTTTTCAGTATAAGAGAGTTAAACTAAGCGGTTGAAAGTCATCAAAACAATCAACTCGCTCATGTTAGTAACAAGATATCTAATGTTTGAAGGAGGGGTGAAAACTAATTACGGAATGCATGATAAGCTGATTCTTAGGCGCTAACAACAAGTTATAAGGTAATCAATAAATCTGTAAAATAGTAGTGATGACGATGAAGAATAGGATGACTCAAAAGAACTACGTAAAATACAAATAAGTTAATGGAATTATCTAGAATTGTTAAAAATAACAAAGTTGAAGGATAGTTATAAGGCGGTGGGAAAAATCGTTTTTAAGAAGTTAATATATATATTATGTAGTTAACCAAGGCAAAGCAAGGGGGTTGTACAAATTTCTTCTGAACTGACTCACAGACATGGCTTGTTTAGATGGATTCCGATTACCTCTGCTGTATGTAAGAGTTGTACTCGTAGGACATGCGACAGACTGGCTAAAATAACTTTGAAAGCTCTGTTGGAGTTGACTTGATGTCCAGTCATTAACGACGAGTTGAGCTATTATTGACCCGTGTATAGCGTGTATTCGAACCTTTGCCATACCAAAACAGTGAAGGTGTTCAGAATTAAGACGATGAACTTACCTGATCGTACGTCCAATATAATTAACTGCTCAAGGGCAGTTAAACTAGTATATACACATGGAAAAGTCGAAACTGGGCAGTCTGTTTTCATTTCTTGAACTGAATATTGGTTGACTAGTGAGTATACAGCATAACCTAGCTGAGTTGAAATTCCTTTTAAAGACCCTTCTGAGACGTTGTGATAAGATCTCATTACTGACATCCTTCGTGAAATGGAATCTTAGGAAGGTTGATGTTTTTTTTTCTAAAAGGAAATCAGCTAGATCATTCAAGTATTTGGATTTCTACTTCGACTGAGCACTAGATAGTAACTAGTGTTAGGCGTCTAGTCCTTCATTGTTGGTGCAGACTGAATTCTGTCAGTGAAAGTTAGCAATATGATCATCAGAGTCCACTCAGAATTTTTATTCGGCGAATGATGGCAGTCGATGGGAAGCCTTGAAACCACCTAGCTTGGTGGCCATATTGCAAAACTTGATTGATAGAATACAGTCCACACCAACATCAGGGGCTAGACTCGTGTAACCAGTTACGGCCTAGTGTCCAATCAAAAGAGTCATTACTCTCCTAAAAAGTGGTCATTCACGAGCGCGAATAGCTCAGTGGTAGCGCATTTGACTGCAGCACTGGGTGACTCAAGTTCACTCAAGATTGTAGATAATACGCCTTACTGAGAGGTGAGTACCAACTAGCACGAAACCCAGGTCCAAAGCATCCTGGTGATTGCCTCTAATTATCTCACACCTGTCTACTTGCAAAGTTTGATAGGGAAATGAAGGTTGGTTAATGCAATCTATAGTGAAAACAGGTTAAATTCAAACAATTTGACTAGTTGTGTTGTGTTTTTTTCATTATACAGCTGCGTTGAGTGACGGGTTTGTTACTCATGCAATTGGGATGAGTACCGGCTTTCCTTAATGTGATTTAATGCTGTTTAATATTAATAAGGTATGCTTGTATACTTTGAAATGAAGTTTTAAACCAAATAATATTCTAAAGACTTTGAAGTAAAGACAGGAGTTAGATAAGGCTGACAACCTTCTATCACCAATGTCATTCCTGAATTTGGTCGACTGGATAATACGACTGGCAAGCTGACTAGAAAATTCTAAAAGATCTGGGCCTTTTGAACGATTTATGTCTATTGTCACACGCACACACACACACTCTCAACGATCTACATGGCAAATGTCAA